CAACCAAGGTACATGCCCTTGACCGGAATCGAACCTAGGACCCTTGAGTCCGCAGGCTGACACTCTATCCACTGAGCCAAACCGGTCAGGGCCTTAGAGTATATAAAAGTATTCATGTTCAAGAGGTAAATTACAGGAACATAGTCTAGCTGTGTACATTTTACTTATTAATCAGGCTTTTAATAAGCTATTGTGGGTCAGCAGTTGATGGCGTATAAGATAGTGGGGGCAAGAAATAACACAGTATTGCTATATTGTACCTTCCACCTCAACTTTTTTCCAGGTCATCCCTTTCTCTGGAACTGACCCTTTGAACTCCCCTCCCTTTCCTTCCATTTTCTTCACCAGGTCCTTTATCCTCCGGACCAGAATAATAAATTTGTAGCCAAATCCTGTCGTAAACATTGCTAATTTATCACACATTCTTTGCCTGCCAAGCCCTGGGTATGCCCTCAGAATCCTTTTTAGCACATAACACTTCAGGGAGTTTGCCACTAGAGACAATACCCAGTTGTCATTTTTGTTCTAGCTCTTGTTCCAATCAGACTAAGACATTAACATATTCAGGCTATATTTGCTTTGAAGGCTGAAGAGGAATAAAGGTAAAATAACAAGTAAAATTGTTTCCCAGTATCCAAGAGACAGACTTTCTTTTAAAGCCTTTTATATTGCTCCAACTCTTGTTTCTATCTGTGCTGTTTCTGCTTCTTTCTACCTAATTAGTTCAAAGTAAGAAATAAACACACTTGTATTGAGCAATACAAACTAGATTTTAATTCAATAGTAAGTGAAAAGGGCATTCTTTTCTTTCCAAATATTTTCACCTCTTTAGTCACTCCTGAGGTAATTTCTTATTTTTGGTATAATGTACATTTTTTCCTATCCTTGTATTTAGATTTTTTTGGTAAAAATTAGGTACCAGGAACTAAGCAAAGGTCTTTTATTGCTAAAAGAACATAGGAGTTTGAGAAAAGAAAACATAGAAGGAAATGCTGGTAGGGCAAACAAGTATTTATTTTTGTTCCTGAGTTAATATGAGGTGGATATTTTTTAAATATTAATAAAAAAGACATAGAAGAAAGTGGAACATTCCTAAGTGAGCCAACTATCTGGCCATTACTCTTTTGTGTGCCTAAACTATATTATTGTACTTGTTCTTCACAACCACTCTGTTCAGTATAGGTATTGGCCTCACTTATAAAAACAAGGAGAGTAAAAAAGATAAATAATTTACCCAAAGACACACAGCTAGTAAGTGGTAGAGTTGGGATTCCACCCCCATCTCTGGCTACAAATATTTTTGTTCTTTTCCACCTAACCATTTTAGAAATTTTACTTTTATAAGATTTTACCTTTTTCCGTAATGGACTTTATATTACAGCCTTTTTAATATGGGCATTGATTACATGCATGCATACATTTAATTTTTTATAAGTTATTTGGGCCTCTGGCACTGTGGCTAAAATGATAAGATTCTGGTATAATAGTGTTGAGAGCTCTTGACAGTGTAGCCCAGTGATATAGCATAGTGATTGAGCCAGTTGTCAAATCCTGACTCCACCACTGCCTCAAGTTGTGAGAGACCAACATATAAGGTTGTTTCGAGGATTAAACATGGAAATATGCATAGAACACCTAGCACAATAGTAACAAATAGTAATAACTCTATTACATATTTACTATATTATGTTAATTCCCTAGCTTCTCCATGAGATTGTGAGAATTTTCACTGATTTTCGCAGAACTTACAAACTATACTAAAGATACTTATTTTATACTTACTGTGTTGATATTTGTAAGGAAATAAACATTACTTCTGCTCTTGTATTTTTCATATTTTGGTTATTTTAAAATATAATCATTACCATTTGAAACATATAGTCTCTCTCCTGATCAGGAACATTTGCCTCATCCAGGAATTACAGTATTTCTAGAAAGATTCCCAAAATCTGTTTTGGTTGAAGATAACTTGAAATAATAGTAGTAGACACTGACTACTGGTGTCTTTGTTTTAACTTTCTATTGTATGAGAATGCAGAATGCACAATTCAGTGATTAAAACATTTGCTATCTTCTTTTCTTTTTCAGAAGATGAATAATCTTTCATTTAGTGAGCTATGTTGCCTCTTCTGCTGTCCACCTTGTCCAGGGAAAATTGCTTCAAAATTAGCATTTTTGCCACCTGATCCAACTTACACACTAATGTGTGATGAAAGTGGAAGCCGCTGGACTTTACACCTATCAGAACGAGCTGACTGGCAGTATTCTTCTAGAGAAAAAGATGCTATGGAATGTTTCATGACTAGAACCAGTAAAGGCAACAGAATTGCCTGCATGTTTGTGCGTTGCTCACCCAATGCCAAATACACCTTACTCTTCTCACATGGAAATGCTGTTGATCTTGGTCAGATGAGCAGCTTTTACATAGGATTGGGATCACGGATTAACTGTAATATATTCTCATATGATTATTCTGGATATGGTGCAAGTTCTGGGAAACCATCGGAGAAGAACCTCTATGCAGACATAGAAGCTGCTTGGCTTGCTCTTAGGACAAGGTAAATGGTGATTGGGAATTATTTTCCACACTTGGGAAAATTGTCTTGTATTAGAATAGAATAAAAACTTTTTATAACACATTTTAAAGTGCTAAATAGAGACTATATTTACCATTATATACCTATGAAGAGTTAAAATTAGATTAATTGAATTTATTAAAGTGTGATATAAAAAATGTTTTTTCAAAATTGCAGCATTTCATGAGATTGAGAGAAAATGTGATTTAGCTAATTACTCATTGACTTTACTTGTCATTAACAGTGTAAGAGGAAGCATTGTTTTTGTCAAAATCCTAAGCCAGGGTTTGCATTATTCTATATAATTATCTCCTAGAAGATGTGGCTTAAAGATATCTTAATGGAACTATTTTTAAAGTTTTCATTCTATAAAACAGATTTTACTTTCATTCTGGACTCAAAATTTAGAGAGGCTCTCAAGTGAAGAAAAGTTAATGCTATGATAAATCATTTACATAATTTCTGTTACTATGTCAGTTATTCTTTGTTTATAACTACATTTTTTTGGAAGCTAGAAATTGTGTTAGTCTTACCTAGTCACCAGGATACTTACAAATCTTCTAAAAAAATAATGCAATTTTGTAAACTTCAGTGTATTATCTCATCATTTAGCATGCAGTAAGTAGATATCTTAGGATAAGTTATTCTTCCTATTAGACATTGATAAGCTGCCTGACTTCCACAGTATTTTAGATAGAAGCTAAGGACATAAAGGAAAGAAAAAGAACATATATACATAACCCATGGACACAGACCAACAGTATGGTGATGGCCAGAGGGAAGGAGTTGGTGGGGACTGGGTAGAGGTAGGCAAGGGCAGTGGGGAGGAGGAGGGTAATGGGGACATCTGTAATAGTATCAACAATCAAAATTAAATTAAAAAAAAAGAACTAGAGAGCTATGAAAATATAAAGAAAAAGAAAACAGTGTGTCTAATTTAATGTTTAAATATGAATTATTTCAGTTAGTTAAGAACCACTTCAATTTTGTTAGTAGGCATAGCCTTTTTTGGAAAATGACTTTAGAACCATTTACCCCTCCAAGATATGTAATAAAACTCAACTCTCATATCAAAGTTCTATATAAAGAGGATTCTTAAATCAATAGAAATGATATGAAAACGTATTTGATGAATAAGAAAAAAAATAGATGGTAAGTAATATAAGTAGTAGGGAAGGAGTTCAGGGTTGGGTAGAAGAACAGAATGTTAAAAACCACCTTAAATGACAAAATTGGTTTTTAGAGAGAGTATAAGGGAGAAGAGAGAAACATTGATGTGAGAAGGCAACATCGATCAGCTGCCTCTGTATGTCCCCCACTAGGGATTGAGTGCCCTGACTGGGAGTTGTACCAATAATCTCTACTGCACAGGATGATGCCCAACCAACTGAGTCACACCAGCCAGGGCAGTAATATATTCTTTAATAACAGATTTATTGAGATATAATTTATATACCATAATTCACTATTTTAAAGGGTAATTCCAGTGGACTAGTATGTTTCTTAAAGATGCTAAGTTAAAGCAGAAAGCCTTTATTGTTAGTGCTTCTTAAGTAATCAGGAAGGGAAAAGTAAATAATGAGTTTAAGTGATTATTACTTGAATGGTCTGGTCTTCTTTTTAGGATAATTGATAATAACCCTAAATTTCTGAACTTCTGATCTAGCGAGAGAAAATAATGGACTAATATTCACTATGCAGCCTTCACCTACAAATTTTGAAATCATTATCTTTGTGTTGTAATAGAAAAAACACTGGACTGGGAGTCAGGATTCCTGGGTTCAAATTATAGGTCTGTCACTAACTTACTCTGACTTTGAATATCTGCTCAGTAAGCAGCTGAACCAGAATAGATGGTCTCTAAAGTCTTTTCTAACTTTTATTCTGAAATTCTGTTATTGCTTGGAGTCCTCTGATGTGACATTGGCAGCTGCCTCTGCTGCTCTGGACCCTTGCCCATCACTAACTTTAGCCTAAAACCTATAGTTGCCACCAACAATGCTGCTACTCAGCTAACAGCAACTGTGCAGCCTTAAGAGTTATGCTGATGCTGCAAATGTTCATTTTCCCAATTTTCATTCCTATGAAGTATGCACAGCCAGGTCTGTTGTAAAGAAAACTTTCCTGAGTTTACTTACATTTAGAGTCATTACATTTGGGTTCCATCTGGAGTAGATGGAACCCAAACTCTGGAAATATCCAAATGCTTGAATGTAGGACTGATTGAAAGAAACTATAGGAGGGGATGTCATTAGCTGGATAGTTCAAATAGGCGTGTGCCCCTGGAAAGGGCCATAGGGAGCACACAGGGCTTGTCTTGTTCTTTCCTGGTGAATGCTCAGATAATTTGGAAAGCTCTATTACCTTTTCAAAAGATTAAAAGCTGTTGATCAAATGGCCCTTAGCAGCCAGAAGTGATTACTGAAGTGGAAAGGCATATTTGATGTCACTTAACCCTTAACCCCACATTCATTAGCTCCTGTAGCATCTCACTTGCACTTGCAGTAGTTTATAGTTGGGACAATTATACTGTAGACAGGTAATGGTGCCTGGAACATAGTATGTACCCAATATTACTGAGTTCAGTGAGTTTACGTATTTAAATCCGAACCCTTTTTAAAGGGAAGAAAGCAATACTCTTGAGATTTTAGCATGAAGTCTATTCATAGTTAACTGAATTGTATGTCATTGGAATTTTCATTCATCTGTCTATCTTTTCAATCACTAATCCATTTCTATGGTAAGTAAAGGCAGATTTCAAGAAATATAGTAATTTGCTATTGGCTAAAATAATGTGTACATTCATTCTATACTGTAACTATATGTTACATTTTCACCAATATGACCAACTTCAGAAAAGGAAACGATCTACTTTTGATGTCTAGAGAAGTAATGTTTCTTACATTTAATGGAAGATAAATACTATATTAAATATCAATCATTAAAATATTAGTGATAATATGTTCCAAATTTAGTCAATAATATGCTGTATTGAATTATATAAATGGTTTAATACAAAATTTTTAAGATTGAAACTTTAAAAGACCTCAGCAATTTTTCCAAAAGATTAAATTGAAAAATGAAATAAGCTAAGACAATAGATTTTACTATAGCATTAAATATAATAGTGATGACTAAGAAACTTAAAGTTTAAATATAAATTTGTTGACGTTGTCTAAGTCATTCGGTTATAAAGTTAAGTTGTTAGGGATGATTGAACATTTCCATGCTAGTCCAACTCTTTTTTTTTTCCAATTTCTGAACTTTGTAGATATGGCATTCGCCCTGAAAATGTGATTATATATGGCCAAAGTATAGGGACAGTACCATCTGTGGATCTTGCTGCTCGATACGAGAGTGCTGCTGTTATTCTTCATTCTCCTTTGACCTCAGGAATGCGAGTTGCTTTTCCTGATACCAAGAAAACCTACTGTTTTGATGCATTCCCAAAGTAAGTACCAATATTCAAAATACTTGAATTCAAAGAAACTTTTGAGGGGAATTTTATCCCATCACTTAAGGTATTCATGATACAAATCACTCATCCATGAGCTAATATTTTTCATATCTTACAGAAATTGTGAAAAATTAACTTAAGCAGGTGGTAATAGACACCAGTCAGGAAACTGAAATGTTTGAGCAGTAGTGATTCAGGTGCAAAGTACTGAGGGCCTTTTAACCAAACAGTGGCATTAGTATTAGAGACAAAATGATTTTGAAAAACAAGATTGATAGAACTAAATGTCAGGCTGGATATAGGATGCTAACTAAGTAAAAGAACTTGAACATAATTCCCTGGGTGGTGATACCATTCATTGAGACACAATACTGAAAGAAAGGAAAAAGTAGAGGGAAAATGAGACACGTGTGAATATAAAAATGAGTGATATGTATTGGTATCTGATTGACAAAAGTAGTGAATTGCAAAAAAAAGTTGAGTCTTAAATGAACTAGGGTAAGTATTGCCGCCATAAAGTCTACAAACATAAGGTGTTAGACAAATTTGAAAGAAGGGATACTTCTACTGCTTCTTAAGACAAGATGGTAGTTCCCACCAATTCAAGAAGTGAGAATCTTGCAAATTTAAGTTTTCTTTTCTTTGCCTAATTGGCAACATTAAAGAGGATATTTTTTTGTGAATGATAGGTGGACCAAAGGCCAAGTCATCACTTGGTTC